CAGGCAGACCGGGCCGCCTGGCGCCGAGGCCCGGCAGTGTCCGCCAAGGGGCACGTCCCTGCAGGTAGCTGTGCGCGCTCGGGTGTCTCCTACCTGCTGAGGCCATTGCCGCGTCGAGGCGGACGTGCAGGGACAGGAGGTGCACAGCAGGTAGGCCTGGTCCCTCCCGCTCTGCGCGCTGCTCTTCTATCTCGCCTTTAGGTCCCAGGTTCCTCCCAATGGAGGCCAGCACAAGCACGCTCATTCTTGCAGCACAGCCACTCTGGAGGTGCAGGGAGGGCAAGCAGGCCCTCCCTCAGGTAAGATTTTGGCATGGCATCCTCAAACAGAGCCCAAGCATGTTGCTGAGGGTGAACACTGCATGCTGGCCAGCAGACAGATGACTGAGACTGGTGTGTGGCAAAGGCTGGTCTGGGGCAGGTGCATCTGCAACCCATGCTCCTCTGCAAGAGAGCACAGAGTGGGGGCCTCACTGTAGGAGAAACTTTTCCAAAGATGGTTTTAGGAGCAAGGAAAGAAGTGCCATATAGTACTGTTGAGTTCTGTGGTTTACCCCCTGTCAAAAGATAAGACCACCTATCCCTTTTTTTCTCGCAGGAGCTGCAGCTGGAGCAGATGCAGGTTGCTCTGGGTGGCCTTGGAAGCCTGGAAAAAGAGTTTCCTCTCACCTCTGGTGGCTAATGCTCAGGGTCTTAGTCCTGGCTGACAGCCCAAGACATATCAGTGAGGTCAGTGCATCCCTTTGGGCTGCCAGGGACATCTGCATTTCTCTTGCCTGTTGCAGACATCACTGTCTCAAGGCAGAGATGCTGAGGAAGGCAGAAGGTGGGGTGTTTCCAGGACATCTGGCACTGCTCTGTGATGGGAACAGCACTGCTGGGTCTGCCTCAAGGAGCTGTTTGACCTTCCCTAGTAGGGCCACAAAGTCTGTGTGAAGCCTCACCTGCCGATTTGGAGCTTTATTTTGGTCTGTTTACCTGGAATAAGCAGTAATCCCTACAGTAAGAATTTTCGTGGCTAGACGGCTAACTTGTCACCTAACCTGTCTTTGCCTTGCTTCATTTGGTCTAACTGCTTAATGTAGTAGCAATAACTTGGGAACCCAGAATAAAAACTGCTACAATGCGTAAGGAAGGATCTGCATTTGTTTAGGTTGGGGAAACACAATTAAAGCTTTGGAAAAATGCTCAAAAATGACTCACCCATTGACCTGGGCAGCTTGATTCATTTGCAGAATAATCCTCTGAGGGCCAGCAACTCTAAGAGAAGCAGCTAAACCCGTTTTGCTGATTTTAGTGATGCTATTTTAAAAAGCATGTAAGTACAGAAGGGGTCTGGAAGGGGTAGCAAACAAGAAAGGAAGGAGTAAGAAAGGTTTGAGCGAATGGAAAAACTAAGTTCTATGACTACTGAAGTTGTTAAGGGCTGAGTGAATTGGGGGTTAGTTATGTGCATATGAAGGTCTGAAAGGGGTTAATGCATGAGGAATAGTAAAATACCGTGACTGAACACAGGGTTCCTCCCCAGTCTGAGCCCGTGGGTGCACCTTCGCCCTTGCAGACACAGACACTCTGGAGATGTAGGGATACAGGCAAGCAGGCCCACAAGTGGACTTTGGGCACAGTGCTTTGCAGAGAGTTCTGCGTGCTCAGCAGGTGAGTGGAACTGGAGCATGTTAAGGGCTGTTCTGGGCTGTCTGGATCCATCTGATTCCACTCACTGTCCCTCTGTCCAGCTTTCCATCTTTCTCTTTCTTTCCCCGTAGTTCTGTTTGGTACCCCCTCCCTTTGTTTAGCTACTCATTCTTGCCTAGCTTCCCATCCCCCTTGTACTCTTTGCATCCCTCTGTCAATATCTGCATCCCTCCGACTGGCTCCCTATCGCTCTGTCCAGCTCTCCATCATCCTCTTCCTCTCCTGATCCAACTACTCGCCCGCTGTCCCTCTGTCTGGCTCCCCATCCCTCCGCCGCTCTCTGCCGCTCTTGTTTGTCTCTACGCCTTTCCAGCCCTCTGTCCACCTCTCCAGCCTTCTCTTTCTATTTCTGTCCCTCTGTTCAGCTCCCCATCCATCTATTTGTCTCCCTATCCCTCTTTTCCCCTGTTCCATCTCATCTCTCTGTCTGACTTCCCCTCCCTCTTTTTTTCTCTCTCCACCTTTCTGGCTGGCTCTTCGCTTTGACTGGCTCCCTGTCCCTCTCTTGCAGTCCCCATTCCTCTGTCTGGTTCTCTGGGGGAAGAGGGTAGGAGAACCCAAGAGTTTCAGAACACTATTCTGTTGAATCTGTCAGCGTGTTTGATCTGTGCATGTGTGAATGAGATGCATCTGTATCATTGACATGGGTCATTAATTCCTAACTGCTGACTTGGAGCGATGCTTGAGAGGTCATACCAGAACCTCAGTTGCTTCTAGGCGTTCATAAAGTTTGGGAAGCCTGTAGAACAAGCTTCTGATTTCATCTTGGCTTTATACAGTTCTGAGGCCTACATTTACACAAGCCACCGACCACCCCTTTTAGGTATGGTCTGAGTTATAGGGTCTGTAGATGTTTTATCCATTTTTTTTCTTAACTCCATGCATCTTGCTGAGTGGAGTCAGGGGAGTAGCCAGCCTGTCAGCCTATCCATTAGGGCTCTTTTGGGGAACAAATCACTCTTTGGCTTATCTGCTGGCCAGCCCTTGAGAAGCTTTGGCATATGAGCCTTACAGTTCTCTCTGAGCACAGTCAATACCTTTTCCTCTCAGCCTTTTCTTACAGTGACTATGTTTCAGCTCTACCTCAGGAACTCATTCATTCTTGTATGTGTGGCTTTTTTGGGGGTGACATTTAGCCTGACACTGGGGTTACAGTTATGAATATTGTCCATATCCAGCAATACCTCAATTCTGTACAGTTTTCTGGTCTTTTTTTCCCTATCAATCTGTGTGTCATGGTTTATAGGTGTCTTACCTTACAACGTGGCTAAAATATAATGATTAATAATTCAATAACACAGATAATTAACTTCACAAGCAGGTACATAATAAGGTTGAAAACGTAGTTCCCCATTGGCTGCCATCCCTTAACCAGTGCACAATTCAGTGAGCTATTCTGCCTGCGATACCATCCTCATTGGTTCCCCTGCTCATCAAGTATTTTTCCAGTTGTTTCTTGAAGAAGAGGTACATTTCGTACATTGATTATTGGGTAAATTAGATAATTTTTGTGGTACGCATACAAACACAGCTGTATCTCACAAACAGTTACAGACTGGTCAGAAATCAATGGAACAAGTTCATGGTCACACTTGATGAAATCACGATTTAGTCTTTGAAGCCTGAAAACTTATCTTCATGTATCTAATACGTATTTTGCTCTGCTGCTTGCCAGCTGTATGAGACCACTGAAAACATTCCACATTGTACACCCAGGAAGTGCTTGTGCTCTTGTTGGGTTCTTGCCGAGCACTACCTGCAGGGGCTATGCTGTGCTATTGAGCCCTTCCCCACCTTTTTGATGAGGCATACTTGCAATTGATATTAGCAGACGTGATTGTTCGCATAGCTTCCGATTCATTCCTTTTCTTGGAACTCCTTTTTCTTCTGCTGTTCTGGTTCCTCTCTCCCTGAAGTCAGCAGGTTCCAGTAGTGTTCGTATTCTCAGGGCAAAAGTCTTTCACAACTCATATTTTAGAGATGTGATTGTTACACTTTGGACTTTCCTCTCAGGAGTTACTGCATATTCCGATAGCCAGTTACAGAAATAGCTGTGCTATAGCAGAGAGGTGTGGTTGCGTAACACAGTAATACCACACTCGTACTTGTAGCACGATAATTGGACAAAATAGCAACAAATCTGGTGTTGTAGAACTGAAAGATGGTTGTTTCCATTGCAAAGTGCTAAATGCAGGTTTTGATATGTGCTGTTACGCACCTAAGTCCAGGTCCGAGGGGATGTGCAGAAAAGCAAGTTCCTTTTTGTTGAGTGGGATTTTTCAACCTCAAAGAGGTTCCTTTTTGCAAAGATACTGCATACTTTTTATAGACTTAAGAAGATGGTTCTCAGATTAAACGGCTTATTTGCAGTGATCAGTATCTGCGGCTATTTTTCCAAAACAGGAATACTGGAGTTGTGCATTTTTACAATT